CCTGCCACTTGAGTTTGTGTGATCCAGAGCACTGAGCATCACCATAGGTGACATGGTAATACCTAGTTATAAGTAGATAGTATGGTACTGCTCTCTAGTGAATGAGAGTGACAGTGGGCAGCACTCATTCATTCATTCACCCATCAATTCTACAAATAATTATTGATCATCTACTGTGTGTTTTCTAAAAAGTACAGTGCTAAGTACCGAGAATACAAAGGTGAACAAACATGATTTTTCTCTCAAGGATTTTAAACTCTAGTGGGTGGGAATCAAATAGATAAATTCAATACAGTGAGAGGTAATTCTCATATATGTGGACTGTCATGGGAGCACATGAGAGAGGCAGTTAACCCAGCAGGGGTGAGTGGTACTGGTGGGGCAGCTTCTTAAGAGATGTGATGCCTGAGCCTGAATGTTGAAGATAGATTTTTACCTTAAAAGTGAATTACTCATGTGGAAAAATGGGTTGCTTCAAATACTTTCTCTCAAGTTTTTTGTGTGTTTCTTTTGTGTCTTAATGTCTCTATCTGGCATGTGTTCCTTTGGCCTTTGCAGTCTTTGAGCCTGTTATTCTTTGCATAATAATTTGTATCCAAGGGGAGAAACAGTAGCTATTTTATATCCTTAGAAGTTCTGCTATTAAGATTTAAAAGAAACAGGTGTAAAAAATCAAATCATCTGGGTTAGAAGCACTTTTGTTTTGTTAGAGTCCAAAATTAGGACTCTAAGGTTATTGTATACTCAGAGATCTTTTAACAGGAAGCAAGATATATTTGCATATGAAATGAACATAGTTATTACAGTGACAAATATGTAGATCAGATTTCTAGAAACTGAATTAGTCCAAAAACAAATAAGATAAGGCAAATTGGTAAAAACAACAACAACAGCAACTTAGTTCTTGAATATTGCTGTCATTATCCAAAGTATTCTTGTCTCTTAGGTGAAAAATTTCCATTACTGTTTTGCGATGTTTTGAAATTAAGTAGTGTTGGATTTTACATATTCCAAAAGGAAAACATCTAAATTCAATATTTCAGTAAAGTAGCATTTATTTGCTTCCTTACCACTAGATTAAAAAAAAAAAAAAATTGTTGGCAGCAAGTCTCCCTAAAATAAAATTAAAAGTAGTTTATAATGTAAATATTCAGACCAAAGCATGATAAGGATCTTTTTTCTGCAGCATGCTGTATATTTTTTTTTAATTTTATTTACTTTTTAAAGATCATGATCTATTTATTACTTACTTAAAGCAAAGCAATGGTTTATTAATTCTGTTAGGTATTTGCCTAGCCCCAAATAAACATCTAAGAATTTTAGTTTACAATTTGGTAACATTGATTATAATATGATTTCCCATTGTATCCTTGTATAGGTCCATTTAATAATTTGATTTAGTAAATCCAGTTGAGACATCAGTTTTAAGCATTGGAAGATCAGAATTGGCGATTTGCTATCTCAGTGTTGCTAACAATAAATAATTTGTAAGCACCATTTCAAACCTATAAAAATTGTCATGGCCCAATATTTGAGGGACTTTAGATTTTTATAATGAATTATCGTTCGCCTTATAAATTCAGTATCAATCCTTTTATATATTCACCAAGCTTGTCTCTGACCTATACATCCTTTAGGAAACTAAAATAAAAGAGAGAGAGATAACTGAATTATAAGAATATAGTCTCAGAAAAGCCATGGGTGGGAATGCAACTGGGCTTCAGGAAAGATGGGTAGAAGTAGGAGCTGGAAAACACTAGGGAGTCTAGTAGCATGTGTTCTCTGTCTCCAATCTCTGTTTCTTTGTGCATCTTTTAAAATCTTTCCTTTCTCTGCTAACTGGTTCATGTGCTCCTCAGTTCACATGGTGGAATATAGTCTGAGTTTCCTCGTTTACTGGTCTAGCCATAGGAAGAGACATCTCTGCCTCTTAGTCTCAATTCCAGATTCCTGGAGTGGAGACCATGGCCTGGTTTGAGTCAGATGCTCACCCCTGGTCAGGCCTGGTGGGCAGGGTTACAAAGTGACTGCAGGGAACCAAATCTTTGGTGTGCATGGATCATTATAAGCTCAGTATACCCTGCAAAAGTATCCACTGCATTCCTCTAGGTCTATAGTAAGAGCAATAGCATTACTAGATTATTGTCCTACCTCATCTCAGAAAATTTCGGGGAGGAGAGAGGATAGGGTTGATTGAGTAGTGGGCTTTCATCATAACCATGGGAGGAAGAGAACCCTGTTAAATCTAAGACATTTTGATTTAATATTTTGTTTTCTTTGTAACAGGTTAGTGGTTACTTGGATGATTGTACCTGTGATGTTGAAACCATTGATAAATTTAATAACTACAGGCTTTTCCCAAGACTACAAAGACTTCTTGAGAGTGACTACTTTAGATATTACAAGGTATTTTTATTTTCAATTCTTTGTAGAAGAAAATGTAAAGTTTAAATGGATAATTACATTTTTCTTAGGCATTACTAAGCCTCAGAATTGTAATTATTACTTAAAATTGATTGAAGCTATGTTAGAAAAATTCATTTCACAAGAACGAACCATGTGGTTCTGAAACTACACATTGGATACTTTTAATTTCAATAACTGAGTTTTGCACTCAAAAGTTAGAAACTAGTTGGAATAGAAACTATTATATGTATTGTTATCAAAATTATGAGTTGTTTATAATTTTATAAAACATCAGATTTATTTCAATTAATTAAAATAATTAAATATTTTTGATAAACTCAACTTTATTCTGACCTGTATTATTTCAACAAGTCACTTGTCATATTTCATTTCGAAATATCTATTGAAAGAGTTTAGAAAACCTGATCATTGGATTATAGAGTTATAGTCTGAGTTCAAAATTGTCTAACTGTTCTATTTTGTTAACTGTTACTTGCTTAAAAAGAATAGAAGTCGAGCAGTGATGACCTCAGCTACTTTGGCTCCTAGTTGTCATTGGTTTAGGGTTTGTTTAGTAGCAGTCTGTGTCTTTCTAACCAATGCTACCAATTTACTTACACCAGCTGCACATTTATGTTATCATTAGAACCTGACAAGTAAAAGTGAAATTAATAGAGTTTTATAGAGTTTCTAATAGATAGGAAGTAGAATAATTGCAGCCAATAACATGACCAGGTTATAGCATTATAATTCAATATCTCTCAATTATAAACTTTCTATTTTTAGAGATTATCTTTAAACTTTTTCTATTATTATTTTACAGGTAAACCTGAAGAGGCCATGTCCTTTCTGGAATGATATCAGCCAATGTGGACGAAGAGACTGTGCTGTCAAGCCTTGTCAATTTGTAAGAACCATTTAAGAACTGTTACGTCTTTTTTCAAGTAATTGAAACTTTTTTAAATGGGCCAATAAAACTAAAATAATATTAGGCCAAACATAATGTTTGATATTTACATATTAAAAATCCAAATTTACAAATATAAAACCAATTTTGAATTATACTACCTTCATAATAGAATTTAAATTTTGTGGTTAATATAATTCTTTTACTCATTAGTGAGATTAATACAAACAGTCTCCGACTTAATCAGTGGTTCAATTTATGTTTTTTTTGGCTTTACGATGGTGTGAGAGCAATACGCATTCAGTAGAAACTGTACTTTGAATTTTGAATTTTGATCTTTTCCTGGGCTAGCATATGCCGTACTATACTCTCTTGTGGTCCTGGGCAGTGGCAGCAAAATGATTTTGCCCAACCATAGGCTCATGTAAGTGTTCTGAGCATATTTAAAGTAGGCTAGGCTAAGCTATGATTTTAGGTTATTAGGTTAGATGCATTAAATGCATTTTGACTCAGTATATTTTAATTTATGATGGGTTTATTAAGATATAACCCTATTTTAAGTGAGGAGCATCTGTAGTTCTTTTTGCTTGTTATTTGTTTTTCTTCTTATATCTTACCTGAACAAAGTTATGCTTATAGTATAATAAAATGAGGTTTTTTTCTTTAAAAGATAATTAGATGATGTTTATCCACTTAAGTATATTATAGAAAGGAAGGAGTTGTGTCATGATTAGACCCAAGATTTTGGAAACATAATTGGCAGTGTTGTAGGGGGTTGGGGGAAAGAGGAAGAAATGAAGAAGAAACTGGTAAAAGAATATCAGTTAGCAATTGAATGTAATTTGGTTCAATAGTGAATATTTTTTGAGGGTCTACTAGGTGCCATGACTTGGACATATAAGATGAGCTTTTATATTGAGCTATGGTTTACTAAGGGAGAGAAATACTAAGGGATTATTTCAATACAGATGTGATAGCCCCATAATAGATATACTGAACAGGTACACACTATGGGAGCAGAGGGAAAGGGAAAGCAGAGGAGGGAAACATGAGAAACTACTACATTTCTCTTAGGATGAGCCTGGCCTCAGTTCTGATATTTCCTAAGTAGGGCAGTCTGTCAGAACCAAAGAGTGACTAGAGATCACTTCAAATACCTTGAAATACTTGCTTCAGCCTAGATAATCAGCTTTCATAGCTAGCATTTGTATTGTACATTACTGATATTTTGATATCTCATTATTATATACTTCAGTATGCATTTTACAAAAAGGACATTATATCATGAACACAGTGCAGTTATCACACCTAAAGCAATTAATAATTCTTTCATAATCTAATGTATGTACAAGGTTAAATACAGTTAACTCATTATATCAGGTGGTGTGCTGCTGTTTTGTTAATACCTTTTCTGAGCTAAACAAGGAACCAACACCAATTTCATTTGTCAACAGTTTGATTTCTTTTCAGTTCATTTTTAGAGTTGGTTCATGTTATACCCTGGGACCCAGCAGAAGATAGAAAAATAATAAAAATTAAAATTCTCTTCCTCATACTTGGTGCTTTAAAATCCATATCCTTTGATTTGCACCCCTGATTCCAGAGAATATTTGAATGTGGCAGATGGTCTACCCATAGAGGCTGGAATCTCTCTATAAACTGAAAAGCCAGTTATTTATTCCCTTTACAATGAACTAAAACAACGTTCTTTCACCTCCAATATTAATTGTCCAATGTGAAAAAGAATAAAATAGCCAGTATTAATCTGGGAATGAGAATTGAGCACTCTGGTGGTTAAGTCTTTCCAGAGATCAATTTGGGAAATGTATCAAAAAAAAATTAAAATGGTACATATTCTTGGACCTAGCAATTCTTATAGGAATTTCAGTAAATTACTAAAATAATTAAGCAAATGTTCAACGATGACTGTAAAGCAGTACTAAATTTTGTAAAGTTGTCAGTTCTGTTGAAATTAGTCTATAAATTTGGTATAGTTTATTATGTTAAAAAAAAAAAAGGAAATCATTGAAATATCTGGCCATAGAAAAAGAACATACATTGACCTAGTTCAGAGTCTGAAAGGGTACACAATGAAGTGATTGTCTCTGTGTGGGTGGTTCCCTTTGGGCAGGTATAATCTAATTCGGGAATATACTTAGCATTAGGCCCTGCAATTTACTGAGTTATCCCAGATATATCATTATCTCTACTCATAGCATCACTTTGATGATAGGCGGATAGGTCCTGTAGTTAGTAAGTGGCCAGTGCACAACTGAAAACCAGTACCATTTTCCTCTGAAAAGAAGTAAGGCTCCTTAAAAAATGATTGATTCTAAGACTGGAACAAGAAATATATAAGGTGAGCTTAGAATATCTTGTCATAACAGAAAACAAAAAATGGTGCCAAAGATTCCTAGGGTACTATCAAAAGGACACAAGTGCAAATATCAAGTAAGCACTTAGTGGGCCCCATACCGGCCAAATGTGGACAATTTGAGCATCCAAAGAAATAATGGCTAAGTGGCATTTTTACATTTTGATGCTGTAATGTAATATACGATCAGAATGTGTTGTTGAACTTTTTTGTTTACTTGTAAGAAATAATATTAAAACTGCCTATACCTAGTTTAAATAATATGTTAACTTCAGTAATTTGTTTTATGAATTTTTCTCGTAAATCATAGAAATTTAAAATATTTTTTAGAAGATAGAATAAATGTCATATAAAAGCATTTTTTTTTCTTCTTCAGGATGAAGTTCCTGATGGAATTAAATCTGCAAGTTACAAGGTATGTACATATATTTATTAATGTGTCTAGCAACTTAACAAAAATCTTGAATAACTCTTTTCGCCTGCTAGCTACTGCTCCATTTCTCTGCTCCCTTTTAGAGTGAAACCCCTTGAGAGCTATTTGTACTCAATGGCTCCAGTTCATTTGTTCAGACTTTTATTATGGAAAGCATGGAAGAGAAATAAAGGTAGAGAAATAAAAACATGTACTCATCACGCAGCTTCAGCAATTATCAATATGTCATCAGTCTTGTTTTATCTGTACCTCCCACTTCATTCTCCTAGTTACTTAAAGCCAATCTCAGAAAAATTATATTGTTTACAAATACTATACATATCTCTCTACAACAGAAATATACTTTAAAAAAATATAACCACAGTCAGGCTTCAGATTTCTCTAGTTGTTTCATAGGTGCCTTAATAATTTTTTTGAAACAGGATTCAAACATATTCTACACATTGCATTTGGTTGACGTGTCACTTATGTTTCTTTCTCACTCTTTTCAAATAAATTTTTGATTTTATAATACTTTTAGATTTGCAGAAAAATTGTACAGAGTTCCCACATACTCCACACCTTGTTTCCTCTGTAATTAACATCTTACATTAGTATGGTACATTTATTACTATTAATGGACCAAGATTGATACATTATTACTAACTAAAGTTCATACTTTATTCAGATTTCCTTAATTTTCTACCCAATGCCTTTTTTGTGTTATAGGATCCCATCCAGGATGGCAAATTACATTTAGGAGTCATATCTCCTTAGGTTCCTCTTGGCTGTGACAGTTTCTCAGAATTTCCTTGTTTTTGATAAGGTGTTTTGAGGAGTACTAGTCAGGTATTTGTGGAATATCTCTGAACTAGGATTTGTCTGGCATTATGCTCATGATCTGCGTATGGCTATGTGTTTTTGGGAGGAAGACTATAGAAATAAAGTGCCATTTTTATCACATCACATCACATCACATCATGTCACATTTTATCAACATGACTTATCACTGTTAATGTTAACCTTGATCACCTGGCTGAGGTAGTTTTGTCAGGTTTCTCCATTGTAGATTTACTCTTTTTCATCCTTTCCATAGTGTATTCTTTGGAAGGAAGTCACTATGCACAGCCCACATTTAAGGAGTGCTTCATCTCTTTAAGGCTATAAATCTTTTGGAATTTTTCCATATGGAAGATTTGTATTTTCTCCCTCTATTTACTTATTATAGATTCTAGTTTTTATTATTTTCAATTCTCTGTTTTCTTGTTCACACACAGAGTGAAATTATAGCCAGTGTGTTGGCTCCAATGGCAGAACGTTGCACATAGTTAAATGATGCTATTGTCAGCTATTTCAAATAGAAAATCTTTAAATCCAAAAAGTTTTGATTTTTTTTTTTCATTCATTTGATGGACTCAAAGAAAACTTTTGGAACTTCATTTTGTTGAAGGAAAACATTTGTCACTATTGTGAATGCTAGTATCAACTCATTTAAAGTTCGAAATTGAAGAAAAAATATTTGTTTTATGACAATAATACATATACAAATTTTGATAAAAATAATGCCCTTACTAAATCAAGAAATCTGTCAATCAGAAATAAATTTGCAATTGGTTAAGATACACATAATTGTGTCCAAACACAGTGATATTTTACCAATTGATAGAAGTAGTAATTTTCGAATATATAGATTTTTATGCAAATACCATAAAATTTTTGAGATGAAGCTAATGCTGAAAAAAACATACCTTTGGCATGGTAGGAGTACTTGTTTGTTGTTCATCATCAATCAGATTTTATAAATGTTCGAGCCCTTAAAGAACTGTTTTGTAAAACAACCTAAGCATCCCGCAGTGGTATTGAAAAAATTTTTAATAAATGAGCCCTTTAAATGTTGATTATAATTTGTTTAAAATTAATGGAAAATCATTATTCAAAGCATCAATGAATAGAATGCTTAAGGCAAAAAACAAAACAAATTTCAGCCTTTGAAGGTTTAGCAAATCGCAATTTTTATAACGAAGCTCGTATACAAAGACCTTGAAATTTATTTCTACAAATATTTAAAAAAACTAAGGAAGGCATTGAATACATTAAGTGAGGACAGTTCAAATGGTGTTCTAGGTTTAATTCTGAAATTTTATAATTGTCTTTACCTGTGGGAAGAGTCTTCTCTTGATGAAACTCTTGCTTTTAGTTGGATAAATTTGTATTCTGACCTGAAGTAGAATGAATTTAAGGCTTACAATTTTATAACATATGTATTTGGAAAAACTAAAATAATACAAAAAATAGACAACTTATTTAATAAATTTTGTCTTGAAATTTTTATTGAAGAAAAGTACTTTGGAGGCAAAAGAATAAATGTGATAATATTTTCACATATTTACATGTAGACAGAATATTTTCTCAATTAAAAATTATATCTCCAGAGAAGAGTCAATTGAAGGTATTGATAATTTCAAATTGATTAACCATAAAAACTAACTTTAAAGAAGATTATTGGCAATTTCATGAAAATTTAAAAATAAGGACAAATTGAAAAAATATTTTCCTTCCAAAAAATACCAATTACATAGTACAAGACAGATGTGACTCAATGAAGCTGATCGAATTATTACTAGGAACTAAAAATAGTTATTTTAACTTATGTTTTAATGTTCAGATAATTACAATAAAGTTAAAACACTTTTGTTTTAGCATATATCAGTATAGTAATATACATAGGTATATGTTAATTTTTGAACAAATTTTGATCAGTTTTTGACATGTATTTTAATCTTTTTATTTTGAAATTATTTCTAACTTATAGAAAAGTAACAAGTTTAGTATAAAGAGGTTTTATGTGCTCTATACAGATTCACTAATTCTTAATATTTTGCCTCATTTGTTTTAGCATGCTTTATCTAAGTGCCTATTATTATTATTTTCTGAACCACTCAAAAGTTGGTTGAATATATCATATCCCTTTACCCCTTAATACTTAATTATGTATAAAAGGACTTTATTTTTACAAATAGTCTTTGAATTAAGCTATTTCAGAGGTCAACCAGTGCAAGGAAACAAAGTTGTTATTTAGTAAATACATATTTCAGAAAATTATATCATTTTCAGTTATTTTAGTGTTCGCTTTTATTCTCAAAAGTGTCGTAGTCTGGATGGTCATTTGTATAGTCATCCTAATAATAAGCTAATAGGCACTCAATGTATATTTGTCGAGTGATTGAATTTGTGGCCTCCTGCTTCCAGTGTTGCCTTTTAACTATATGGTGGTGATGACTAGTGTATTGCGAAATCTTGTGATCCATACTTGCTTTCCCTGTGCCACATAAACACCTAGAAGTATATATGTATAGTGCTTTAGACATTGAGAAGAAATGCGGTTGGTAAAGAATATATTTTAAACTCCTAAGGACATCAGAATACTTTTTATAAGACTTAGTAGGCCCCAGGACATTTTTAGAATGATGACATTTATAGTGAGATGGACCTTTGACACACATGATCCAGTTCAATCACTTATTTTATGGAAGAGAAAACTGATGCTCACAATTAGGTCATTAGAAAAGTGGGATATTGCCTCATGATTCCTTGCCTAGTGACTTCCTCATACTTTGAAGATTTTTTTAGTGAAGATTTTGATAATGAGTTATCAGAACTATAAACTATTCTTTTTTCGTGACCCTAATAGTAAACGTGTTCTCCAGCAAAAACAAGGGGCAAAGACTTCTACTTATTTTTTAGTTTCAGGAGGAATGTGAAGGCTTACTTTTTTTTTAAAGTGTTGAAGCCAAGGTGATGGTACCAGGTAACCTCAAATAACTTAGAAATTCTTTTCAAAAGTTTTAAAAATGCAGTAAGTCGTATTCTATTTATTCTCTTTTTTGTTTTAGTATTCTGAAGAAGCCAATAATCTCAGTGAAGAATGTGAACAAGCTGAGCAACTTGGAGCTGTGGATGAATCTCTAAGGTCTGATTTTTTTTTTTTTTTGCAGCATTATTTTATGTTTTTTCATGTGAAATGTTAACTTAAACACTATTATCTTTGTTTAAAGTGAGGAAACGCAGAAGGCTGTTCTTCAGTGGACCAAACACGACGATTCCTCTGACAACTTCTGTGAAGCTGATGGTATAACATTTTTTATAGTATGCATTTTGTTTAAAATTGTACCTAAGGAAAAATAATTCTTTTAAAATTATTTTTAAAAACTCAGTTTTTGTTGACAGTTCCTCAAAAAGCTAAACATAGAATTACCATAGGACCTAACAATTCACCTCCTAAGCATATACCCCAAATCTGAAAACTCTGAAAAGTGAATATTTTTCCCCCTAAGTTTACTATAGGTTCAGTCAGTGTGAATATTCATTCATATATTTCACAGCAGAAATATTTATGTTTTTGATTAAAGGTTGCTGCCCTAGTCCCTGCTGAAGTAATAGTCAATATGTGTTGCATGTACTGTATTACTTTTCTAAAATCTGAAAAGTTCTAAATTCCAAAACAATCTCTGCTGAAATTTTTGTCATTTCCTTTGGTTGTATTGAGACCATTTTGGAATTCCTTTGGCCCCTGGGATGTTGGATAAGGAGATGCAGACGTCCCAAGATTTAGACTGGTAGAGGAAGGGGATAAATGCTCTCCCAAACCCTTAATTTTACCATCTTTTCTACCAGGACTCTTTGGCCTAAACATTGCTATCTGAGATAAAATTAAACTTATAACATGCAGAACATTTTTTTTAGGCCTGCAATGTTAGAGAAAGAATGGTAATATTTTAACTTATATTTAAAAAGTATCCTTTTGAGATGATCTGCTTATATTTGTTTAGGAAGGACTGAGAATCAATAATTCACTTCTTATATGGTGGAGTTCTGATATCTTGGGTGAATCACTTGTCCATTTGCATTTGCTTATTCTGTTAAAGAAGAGTTAATATTTTTTTTAAAGAACATCTTTATAAGAAATAAATAATGTATGTAAATGGTAGGTGGAGTATTTAAATTCTAAATTTAAAAATTGGAGCTTTTGTCATCTGGCAAAGTATGATTATAGTACCTTTTTAAAAAATAAAGTAGACATGAAATATTTTTTATAAGTAAAATTATGAGGCAACTAGTGTTTATCTCTAGGCAAAATATTAAAAATATTAATCATTTCTCGGTGATTAGTTTTCTGCCTTAAAATAGTAGATGCTGAATATTATTTAGATATTTTGAGAATCAGGGTTATTTTTATGAATTCATTATAATTTGCTATACTGTGCATTACTTCTGCATTAGACTCTGTTATTTCTGGATGCTGTCACAGTGTTGCTTCTAGAAGTGAATTTCCCCCTAATTTATGCCTCCAATATACTATAAAGTGGGATAAAAATAACTGAGCTTAGTTTTATTTTTGCTTTTGTCTTTGTTTTTTTAATAAGAAGTAGTTTCTAGTGAAAACCTGACTCATAAGCACCTTTCTGCTGAAATTTTTGTCATTTCCTTTGGTTGTGTTGAGGCCATTTTTGCCCACTTCCTCATTCTTTGTTGGTTTATATTTTTAAGCTTTCTAGATGGGTAAGGTATTGCTGTGCTATTAAAAAATTTCCCAGAGCCACTGGAGGACTAGAGCCTTTTTTTTTGGTTTTGTAGTTATAATGCATATATAAATTATAGAACATATGAGAAAGCAACATCCCACCAATTTTTATATATTTTCATATATATATATCTGTAATTGGCTTTTCTATAATGTTTACCTTTTCATTTCATTAGATAGCCTTTGTATCTAAAGTTTTGACTGTAAATGGTCTATTAAGATACATCATAACACCAATACCACTAGCTAATATTTATTATTCTTTTATGATTGCCCTAAACACTCTGAACATAAAAACATGTTTAAGTCTCATAGTAATATTATGATTATTATCCCCATCTTACAAATGATGGCACAAGGCGTAGAGAATTGACATAACTTGCCCAGGGTTACGCAGCAGATAGTGGAGCCTGGATTCTGACCCAGACAATCTGGCTCCAGAGCCCCTGCTTTTAACTGCTCTGCTCTGTTGGGCAATTAGGTTGCTTCCGATCTTCCATTTTATAAACAATGCTGACACAAATGTCATCTTGCGTATAGCTTTTTCTATATTTAAGATTATATCTTTGGGGTAGCTTTGTAGTGAATCTTGATGGTGCTCCTGTAAGATGTAAGTATTTGGTAATAAACAGTGTATGGTACTAACACTTCTTCATTTACCTTAGTTACTGTTGAACCACTGTGGTTTAATGTGGAGGGAAATGTATAGTATAGTCTTTATATGCATAGTTTATGAAAATTGAATAACCATGTTTCTTTGATTCTAAAATTCACATTTTTTTTTTTTTACCATTTTTAAAAGCAAGATGCTTTTGTGTACATTTAATGTGGCTGTGTTGGTTCTTTTCACTCTTATTGTTCTCCTGAAAAGTTGTTTTTAAATCCCTGAGGCATTGATACATCTGTGGTGCCTTAGAATCAATGGAATACAGTCTTGTATACTTGTATAGGTTTGTACAGGTAAATGAAAAAGGAAAGGCTTAATAAAACATTTTTTTTTTTTTTTTACAGACATACAGTCTCCTGATGCTGAATATGTAGATTTGCTCCTCAATCCTGAGCGCTACACGGGTTACAAGGGACCAGATGCTTGGAAGATATGGAATGTCATTTATGAAGAAAACTGTTTTAAGTATGTGTCATTTTCACTTAGAAATTTTTGGAATATGTAGTGGTTTCTCTTCATAAACAAATAAACAAAAACCTAAAGATTTAAAAGTAGAAATCAAATTCACTTTGTTAAAGGCTGTATTGAGACACAGAAACTTATTTATTTATCCACTTCTCTGGGGAAACACGTAGACATGTTTCAACAAATATTTCTTCCTTCTTGAAAAGACTTAGAATAATATTAGACTTTTATGAGAGCATCGTAGGCACTTAAAAATGTTCCTTGAGTGGATTATAGAATCTCATTTTAGATATGAGGTGAAAGGGAGCCAGAGAGATTTATTTCATTTTCCAAGATCACATAGTGGTAGAGAATAGAGTAGAATATATTAACTCCTAATTCTCTTTTTGGTGCCTTATACTTCTCTTTTTGTGGCTTAGTTATTTTACCCACTTTAAAGTTAAAGTTAAATTAATTTCAGAGAATAATTATAATAGCTAACACTTTTGAGCATCACAGTGTACCAGGCATTGTGTTTGCTAAGCATGTTAACATACATTTTCTCCTTTAGTCCATGCAATCACTCGGTGTTGTAGTCGTCACTGTTCGCAGGTGGAGAAACAGAGATTTGAAAGCTGATTTTAAATGATTTGTCCAGAGTCAAAGATCTAGTAAGTGGAAGAAACCACTTTATACTCAACCACCACAATGGAAGCAGTCAATTTAATCACTGGGTGACTGACACATGTTTCTTCAAGTTTATCCACTTGAGAGCCTCTAGGCTCTAACCAAGGTGCTTATTGATTTTTGGAAAAAATTTGTATGTGTGTGTGTGTGTGCATGCACGTGCGTGTGTGTATTATGCTATCTCAGATGTGGGGGAAATTCTTGGAAAATCTTTGGAGTTTCCAGATATGGAGATAATACACTTCATTTTCTGTAAGTCAAATATAAACATAAGAAATCAGCAAGTAGGTTTATACCAATAAAATATCAGAGTGTTCCTGTTTTTGACTTGAATAATTGTTCCAGTTTGGGAAGTGGAGAGTGTCAGTATTTACTCATTTCTGCCATGTGTTTCATTTAAATTCTCTTGACTATTATTCAGAATATTTAGTGTATTGACTTAATTTAAAAGTTTTTTTAAAAAAATATGAACTAAAAGAGAGTTCTGTTGAAGCACTTGTTAGATATTATATTATAGTTCTTTTCTAGCTAATTTATATTTTGATTCCCACAATATTTCTAAAATATAAACAATGCAAATTGAGTATGTTAAATTATAGCTTACACATTCTATTCCAAAATGTCTTAATCTGTGCAAATTTGTAAAATTTAAATAATGGACATTAAAACAATCTCTACACTTTACTAATGAAACTAATGAATATTTATTTTGAGATTTAAAAGCACTTTGGTGACATATTAACTCTCTCTTTTTTCTTATTAAAAAATACCTTTTATTGAAATCATCACAAACTTGATGGCCACAGGGCAAATTGATGTACCTAAGATTACCTAAGTGGAATATAATCTACCCACATTGTCTTTTTTCCTTTTTTATTTTAATGTTTGTTTTGGGTATTTATATTTTTTGCTTGTTTGTCTTTCAATTAGGAGTGCACTTTGTGTCAGACACACACAGGTGTATATAATATATATAAAAACATACTAGTGACTCTAGGAGAAGAGCCTGAGTAGTATTTTTTTCCTTTGTTTGAAGAAATGCTTAGGAAATGACTTTGGCTGCTATGATGGGAAAAGATCAGAAACTGTTATCACTAAAACAAATAACTACCACCCTCCCTTAAAGCAATTAGAGAAAACTAAATATTTTATAAGCTCAATAAAACAATTTGATTTTGGATATAGTCATTCAGAAACTGTCCGAGATAATTTCACTTTTACTTAAATAATTACAACATGATAGGTAACATTTATATTTTATACTTAATTTTTTTTGTTTCTAGGCCACAGACAATTAAAAGACCTTTAAATCCTTTGGCTTCCAGTCAAGGTGAGTTATTTATTTGCACTACTATGTTATTTATCAGCTTTTGTTAGATGAGGAAGGATAAGGCAAGATTAGGGTTGGCAAGAGCATATGAGATCGTATAGTTCTGTTTCCATAGAAGCTATGCCTCACCCTTGCAGAGAAATTGATTTTTAAAATAGTTACACTAAAGTGAGGAGTATTTTTGTAATTAAGTTCATGCTACTAGACTGTCATGGGATGAATATTAGGTTATATTGTTTATTCTATTCATTTTTTGCAGAATGTATATTCAGTTTTTCTACTATTTTTGTTCATTTTCTAGTTAAATGAATAGCTAAGAAACTTCTGCCTCAAATCTTTCCTAAAACTTAAAACTATTGTATATTGGGAGTCTGATTTCAAATTCACATGTCTTTACATCTCATTAACATTTTTCATTTTCTACTTATACTCAAGGTCTGGTCCAAATGCTTCCTTTTCTATAAAACTTTCTTTGATCCTCGTAACTGGAAGTAATCTCTTCTCCTCATGAAGTGATCTTAAGTCATGTTTTGTTTCTCTTACAACTCTTTCCACTGTCTAGCATCAGTTTATTATTATTTATATATCTATTGCTCTACCTAGTACTTTGGACATATGGACAACATTTTTTGGTTTCATTTCGTAATCTAGAGTCTAGTACATCACAGATGCAGTTTGTTAGATAAATGATGGTTGAAAATTGTCCTCATTTAATGGTCTCATCTACAACAGTGAAAATCACTGTTCCTTCAACAAATGATTATGTACCATTTACAGTGTGCTAGGTAGGCACTGTGTAGGTGCAGAAGTGATGTAAAAATTGAAATTCACAAACTCTTCTCCAGTTTATAATAAGCAGTTATACTATATATCCCTGTTCTCTGAATATGTGCTTACTGATAAAATCTTTGATGTGCTTTTAGCAAATGTGTAAGGTTTTTATTTTTAAAATTTATTTGAAAAGCTGCTCATCTTGTATGGTCTGTAAACATAAATTTCCTCCTGGAAGGCAGTGAGATTGTATCATTCCCTAAATGTTGGCAGACTGGTCTTTCTAAGATTAGAAATGAAAGAACATCTTTAAACAAGGCTTTTGGTTTATACAGAGTCACATATGGTATCAGTGGAAGATATTGATTTAATATCAGATGAAATGCAAATTCCTAGACAAGAAGTGATCTTCACTATGAACTCACATTATGATCTGATAAGTTAATTAACCACCCTCACTTATCTTAAAGATAAATGGGAACAGTTTAAGTGTTTATCATTAGGGAACTGGTTAAATGATTTATGGTATATTCACATAGTAGAATATAGCCATTATAAATGTTGCTGAAAATTCGTATTCATTTTTATCAATACCACACTGAGGAAAAGCAGGCATCAAAGCATTATACAAGTATGTATAACACATTTTTGTAAAAATATAGTATCTAAATATCTATACACAAAGAAAAAGGACATTTACCAAAATGTAAATGGTATTTATCTTTGGGCAGAGGGAGTTATGGATAATACTTATTTTTACTTTATCTGTGTTCTTTTTAAAAAAAAAACATATATTTGCAATGAGCATATGTTACTTTAACAATCAGACAATGATGGCATTAAATAAAACTAGGCAAAATGAAGATAATTTTTCAGCGTAAATGAGCAGCTGCATACAAACTCTTGAATTGTGCAAAATTTGAATCTTACAAAAAGCTCTAAAAATATTTCTGAATAGAGTAAAATTTTATGATGTCAGTCTGGAGGTTTCAAAACAATAACAAATCTGTAGCAGAAACAATTATAGCTTTAGGATAAATAAATGTGGAAAATAACTAACTGTTAAGTCCTTAAGATATTAAGAGTACTCTCAGATGATGGATTAGATTTTCTCTCTTGTTAGCCCAAACTAAATCTTGTATGAGCCAAAAATACTCTTTATCCAGGCTATTGGAGATGTTGCCATTTAGTCAAATCAGGCATAATTCCTACCACTGATAAAAGTTGCAGTCAGAAGTATCTCACAGATTTTGCTTATGTGGATGAAATGATGAACTAAAAACAACCATTATAAAAAGTCTTATTTTATGGAAGTGTAGCATTTTTAAAAGGGGCATCTGGAAGGAGTTTACAATAATAAACATTTTGTTTTGTTTTTCAGGGAAAAGTAAAGGTAAGTATAATTTCTTTATCATACATTATATATATGAATTTGCTTATATATTCAAACCTTTTTCTTTCTGCATCTGAAACAAAGAGGTTAAATTTTATTTCTTTATCTAAAATTCCGGAGGTGAAAGCAGATTAAGGGAAAATGGCTGTGCCTGGCATCAGACAGTAGAAACACCCTGCCTCAGCCTCAAGTAATTTACTTGTACATTTTCCCTTGGCATCTAAAAACACCCTCTCCTTTACTGGTTGACCTCTAGGGTCTGCTGGGTTCTAGGCATGATCACAGTGTTGATCTGGTTTCCAAGGCTTATTATGCTGACTCTTGGTTGTAGGTATCACTACTAACCATTTAAGTTAATTGTAATTCTAAAAATTTTAACATATTTTTGGTTTACTTTATCTTTTTAAGAATCTTTTTTTTTGCTTTATGAGTAAGATTGGAATGATTTTTGTTACTCTTAAGGTCACGTGTTTAACAATATTAAATAAAAGACTAAGTAGTACTTAGCTTTAGTCTAGCTAGATGAAATTGCTAAATTTGCTAAAGTGATGTATCACTTTCCTCTTCCTCACAATTCTCTATCTTCTGAACATTATTTTTATGAATTGCTTTTGCATTATGTCTAAATAACAGAATACTAAAGTCTGATAACATTGCTATTTATTATTATACTTTATATTATATTATAGCAATGATAGCAGCTAAATAAAATACTGAGTCGACTGTACTATTAGGAAGAGAAATAAATCTGTAACAGTGAGATTATTTTTCCAAAGATACCTATTTTGTTACTGTTAGTGGTGATCCTATAATTTTCAGTTTTTAGTAACCTTATTCTACCTTGGTATTCCTGGTCCTATGCTATATTTCAGCAACATCAGAGGAGACTATTTCGGTTTTTCAATACTATTTGAAGATCTTTCATCAGAGAAAACATTGTTAACCTGTGGAGGCTGTCCTTAGAGAAATTATCTTATTTATGACTATAAGTAATCATTTGGTCAAATGTGAAAAAGTTATCTCTGACAGCTGTCATATTAGGTGATTATCTAACTGGATCAGAATCAGGTCAAGTTGAAAATAGCTACTTCAGGATTATAAAACTGAACTAAAAATTTCATCAGAAGGCTAGGTCTCAAACAATATTATACTCCTGGCTCCCTTCCAATTCATGGTCCAAAACTTGAAAGAAAATGCTAAAGGTTTTTTATAAGGAAGCACATCACTTGTAATCCCATAACCCTAAAATAATTGATAATGATAATGGCTAAGACTACATGCCAGTACTCTTCTAAGCAATTTACAAATATGATTTCATTTAATCCTTCTAATAATTCTAGAAGTTATTATTTTTATCTCCATTTTATAGACAGGGAAAAATGAGTCCTAGAGTGGTTTAACAACTTAGCTAAAATTATATGACTTATAAGTAGCAGAATTTGAATTCAAATCAGGCAGCTTGGCTCCATGGTCCATGTTCTTAGTTACTAGGTCATACTGCCTCTCTGTTAACATTTGACAATTATTATTATTAATATATGTATATTTTCATAGTAGGTATATTTATACATTTGTACATTATTATTCCCATTGTCTACTTGCTTCCCTAGCCTATATCTTAGTCACCTCAGGCTGCTCTAACAAAATGCCATAGACTGGTGATTTAAACTAAAGACATTTATTTTCTCACAGTTTTGGAGGCTAGAGATCCAAGGTCAGGTTGCCAGCAGCTATGGTTCCTGGTGAGGACCCTCCTCCTGCCTTGCAGATAGCTCGCTTTCTTGCTTTATCCTCGCATGGCACAGAGATAGAGTTCAGGTCTCTTCTTATAAAAATACCAATTCTATCAGGGGGACCCCACCCTCCTGACCTCAACTAAATCTAATCACCTCCCAAAAGCCTACCTCCAAATACCATCATTCATAGAGTTAGGGCTTCAACATATGAATTATAGGGGGGACACAAATATCCATAACAGCCTGGATTTTTAGAAATGGATCTACTAGATCAAAGGATATGGACATTTTAGGCTCTTGATACATATATATGACCAGATTGCTTTTTGTCATTGAAAGGATGTGCTACCTTACACCCACAATCAATGTGCCAGCTAGTTTTACCTGACCCTTGTCAGCATTAAATATTATCATATTTTTATCTTTACTATTAAAAGTGGTATCTCTATAGTTTTAATTTGTACTTTTTATTAATAGTGAGACTGAGCAATTTCTATTATTACTATTTGTATTTTTTACTTTGTGAATTCTCTATATTATTTGCTCTTTTGCGGGGGCGGGGGGATCATTTTTTAATTGAAGAAATTATTAAAATTTTTCCCCCCCATCCACCTTTCCTCTGGTAACCACTAGTCTATAGTCCATGTCCATGAGTCTCTGTTTGTCCTGTTCATTTGTTGCTTTTAGGTTTATATCCCACATATAAGTGATATCATGTGATTTTCAACTTTTTCTGTCTGGATTATTTTGCTCAGTATGATGATTTCAAGGTCTATTCATGTTGTTGCATTAGTTGCTCATTTTTAATGGGTACTTTCACATTTTTATTCAGTTTATGAGATTTTTACATATTTAGGATATTCTTTGTTGTGATTGCAACATACATTTTACCTACTTTGTTGTTTGCAATTTGCTTTTGTGAAGTTTTCTGACAAACAGCTTTTTAAAATTTTCAAATAGTCTAATTTATTGCTTATTCTCTTTGTTATTTCTTCCATTACTTTTATACCCATTTGGTTCATTTTTAATATTACTATAAGCAACTTCAGTCAAAAGAACTATATAGTACAATGTTTGCCACCTCTAGCAAATGCATACTTAGAATCTTTAAGTAGTTATAATTATTTCTTATGATGTCTTTTTATATATTATTTCAAATAAACATTTTCATGTATTGTTATTTTCGACATTCTTGTCATTTTAGTTTTATATCATTCTACAATGTTAACTAGTTATATAGTATTCTATCATGTAACTTAGGCATTATTGTACATTTTGATTATTCCATGTTTTAAAAATTACCTATAATTATAATCATCTATCTACAAATTATACCTCCCCCAATATTGAGTTATTTTTTTAGAGCATAATTCTAAAGATATAAGTATATGAACAGTGATCATATTAGGTCATAGAATATGTGACATTTGGTTTTTGTAACATTTCTTTGGTCTGCTTTTTGAAATATTGACTGGCATATAATACTATGAGCTATATACAAATAACACACCTCCAATTTTACTTTGTTATTTTACTTTTCAAATTTAAAAAACTATATAATGAGTTTTTAATTTTCATAGCATGAGCTGTTATCAAGGCTAAGTATTTTTCCATGTATTGATTTACTATTTAAATTCTGTTTTGACCTCCTATAGAACACTTTATTCTGAAAGTTATGAGAGTGAGGCTACCTAAGGCTATGCTAAAGCCTTCTAAAGACTGACCAGGAGAGTGGTACTTAACTGAATCTACACTAATAATGTTTCTCCTTTATTTGGAGAAATTGCAAATAAACTTTGGACCTTTTGAAAAACATTTTGGCATTTTTACAATCTTGTGACTTATTTTTCTTTTAATTTCAGAAAATACTTTTTACAGTTGGCTGGAAGGTAATTGGAAACAAACAAATTTAAATGAAATTTTTTCTCATTTTTAAAGATATGAAATTAATTTTATAATCTGACAAGTTTCACAATTACTTTTCTCAGGCCTCTGTGTAGAAAAAAGAGCATTTTACAGACTTATATCTGGCCTACATGCAAGCATTAATGTTCATTTGAGTGCACGATACCTTCTGCAAGGTATGTTCCATTCACTTTTATTCATTTTACCATACTTATTTTCAGGTATTCTCAAAATGTCATTTACTGTCTATGGCCATGCCACCCTGAATGTGCCCGATCTCATCTGATCTCGGAAGCTAAGCAGGGTGGGGCCTGATTAGTATTTGGATGGGAGACCACCTAGGAAGACCAGGTGCTGTAGGCATTAAAAAAATTAAAAAATGTCATTTACCTAAACAGGAAAAAATTGACTCTGTTGAATATTAGGCAAAAAAAATTCATTATTAAATGGTAGCAATCAGGAATATAGGAACTATAGATACAATAGGGAAAAGTTCAGCATTATTTTAGCTTTCTACTTTCTTTTAAGAAGCTGCTCAAAATTTTACACATCACTTTGGAAATGTTCTTTTGTTGTGGGAATTAAAATAACTTCTAACAGCACAGTTTGTTACTCATTAAAAATTACTCTTGCATTTGTGTGCTAACTTCAAGTATGGAGTTTAATAGGTAAAAGCATTTTCTGCTGCTCTTTATGCTTTAAGAACGCTGTTGAAAAATGACACCATGGTTGATTTTCATCAGTAACATATTTCTTCTGGAATTAAAGTATTTCTTACCTCTTAGAAATAAAATACAGTAACTTAAAAAAAAATAGGGCTTGAAAACCTGGTTTCTCTGTAAAATATTATTTTCCTTTTATGAATGGGTTCTAGAAGCTAAAATAATATAGAACTATTAAAGCCTACATTATATAAAACAGTTTTCATAGTTATAGTAGTGTGTATTTTAAAATATAAAATGACATTAACTTCTGCAGGCATAAATAACCTAGGTAAAATGAAATTTACTTAATTTATAAATTCAAATTAAAAATTCAATTCTTCTTTCTTCTCAGATACCTGGTTAGAAAAAAAATGGGGACACAACATTACAGAATTTCAGCAGCGGTTTGATGGAATTTTGACTGAAGGAGAAGGTCCAAGAAGGCTTAAGAACTTGTATTTTCTCTACTTAATCGAATTAAAAGCTTTATCTAAAGTGGTACCATTCTTTGAGCGCCCAGATTTTCAACTCTTCACTGGAAATAAAGTTCAGGATGCAGAAAACAAAATGTTACTTCTGGAAGTACTTCATGAAATCAAGTAAATTATATTATTACAATGTATGCATTAATAGAAGAGTGACAAGTGGTATCCAGATTTAAATTCTTAAATATTCACTTCAGAGAAAGAAAAACTGTTTAAAAAATAATTAAAAGCTAATTTTATTAATAGGTCTTTTAGAATTGTTTTGTTTTTGTTTTTGTTTTCACATAGCTATTAAAAGGCATATATTTTCAGTTTTAAGAGCCATTCTTTTAGTAGTTGATACCTGCATTATTTTCATATTTAGTTGAACAGGTTAGGTTTGAGACCAAAATTCTACTATATTATAGTTAGCTTTTAGATTTGAGGGTAAGAATTTGTGTGGGGGCATCAGAATGTTGATTTTACTGTATTTTCTACTCTGTTTTAATTACATTATTCATCACTGACCAGCAGAATGTTATAGTAGCGAGACTTTTAATATTTTATAATATATGGAAATGAATATTCTATTTTAAAATGCAGGTCATTTCCTTTGCATTTTGATGAGAATTCATTTTTTGCTGGAGATAAAAAAGAAGCTAACAAACTAAAGGTAATTATTTTTATTCTGTAATTTTTAGATACAAACTCTTATGCAGGTATGAATATAGGCCCACGTTTTATACTTAACAATAAATCTTTACATACGTACTGAAATTGTAAGAAAGGAAGTCTAATGTCAGGTCCAACTTAAAATCTAGTTTGTGTTATGTTCAAAATAACAACTGAAATCCATGTGTCACTGCACACTTTACAGATGGCTTTCATATCAATGATGTCATGCAACAAATAGAGGTTATAAATTAAAGGAAAAGGATCTAGAGCATGAGTGGCACTATTTGTCTTTGGCTGATAAGAATTCTGAAAATGGTTTTGGTTAAATTACAGGGTCCTTGTTAGGGAGAGAAGGCAGTATTTTGTCATTCATCTTACTCAGTGTGACTAAAGGCATTTAGGAATGCCAGCATGCAGTTGTGGAAAGAACGGAAGACCTGATACCCCACAAAATGGGGTTTGGTTTTGCCATGCCTCTTTTAAAAAATTTGCTCATTTATTTATATTTTTAATTTTTCAATTACAGTTGACATATAGTATTATATTAATTTAGGTGCACAGTTTGCCTTGCCTCTTAATAGAAGTATAACCTCAGGCAAGACCATCTTTGTGTATCTTTGCATCAAAATGCTACAAATATAAAATATTACTAGATTTATTAAATGCTTATTATGTACACAGAGTATGATTTTTGTCATTAAAGGGAGAGACAGCTTCTACCCTCAAGGGATTGCTAGCCTATTTGGGAGTCAAGTAAAATTATATTACTGTTACAAAGCTGTAGGTAAGTAAAGGCAGGTGGGCTTCAGGAGCACTGGGCTTGATCTAATTTCATCAGAATATTTTTAACAGTCTTCCTCTAGTTCTTATTCTTAGTTTCTTTCTATAAAGAATCTGATTTTATGCAGTTTGCAGACAAAATGCTTTTTGCACTCAGTTTTTTTGCTGTTAGATAATAGTTATTTTTGACCTCCCATCTACCTCCTACTTAAAGCATTCTTGCTAGAAATACATACCTCAGTGCTTATATAACCTCCTCCAAAGCTTCCAGGAACTTAGAAGTGAGAGGAAAGATGCTGTAATGACTTTTTTCCCTACTATTTTCAATATCTTTCTTATTTTTAGGATACTTACTGGTTTATTGGAGAGTGTTTTGGCATCCACTCTTTTTATATTTTGCAGATTAGAAATATTTCTCACAATATTTTAATTTTATCAGAATGGAAACACTCAAGTTTGATGTCCTATGGAGTTTAACAGATAATTTTTCTGAATCCTTATACAAGAAAGGAGTTAAAAAACAAGAAAACTTGTTAATATCATAGATTTACTTCTTTAAAAAAGTAGTTTATGGTGAACATCATTGATTTGAATAGTAACATAAGTTCATTTTAAAATCTCATCTTGTCTCCTTTTTACCCTATCAGTGTATGGTTAGAAATAGAGGACTTGCATGAAAGAGAATTGTTTAGTGTTCAATTCAAAATGGAATAGGATTTCACTTGAAAGCTTATAAAACATTTGAGAATAATTGGATGAGAATTTTTTTTGTGTGTGAGAACCACAGCAAGCTGATTATTCTACCTACTGACTGTAATTTTAAGTGTTGACCTAAAAACTACATAAACAAGGAGAATTTGTAAGCTATTTAGGTCTTGGTTATTTTAAGGATCACAAATTTTTCTGATCTGAGATCACTTTGGAATATAATCACTTTATTGGATACTGATTGTTATTTGTGGAAGTCAGAAGGTTTTTATCGTCTTCTGAGTTAGTAAATTTCTAGCTTATTAATCTGATTCGACCATAGTAAGTTCACTTAAGCACTGTGCTTGGTTTTAATTTTACAGTGCTCTTTTGGCTATTGTAAGCAACCACGCTTACTCTCTGTGTATGCCGTACAAAGATTTACTCAAGAGCTACTACATTCAAGTATTCGAATTAACAAACATAGATTTAAATACAGAATTCAGACAATGTCTACAAAAGCAAGCACAATCTTTTATAACAGGTATCCATCCTTTACAAAACACAAAATATAGAATATTGCTAACATATGGTAATTAGTAATAATTTGGGCTTTGTAGTAATACAAAATTTGTATTAATAAAGATACAAGATCTGGGATCCTAGTAAAGATCTTTTACATATTACAGCTGTTTCAAAGTCTCAAGGTGAATGAAGCATCTGGGAAAAGACTATCCCCAGAGTAAATTGCGGTCTGCTTTAAATAGTGGGTTCTAATCTTAGCAGATTTATTCCCATTTTCAGATCTTTGGTACTCTTCTCTTCTGGTTGAGCCCAGTGTGTAGTTTATCACATAAAAAAAAAAAGAGAGAATATGCTTCCCAAATTATAGGACTATTGGTATAACTATTATGAAGCCAAAGGTTTTTATTTTTTTTCTTCCTCCCTCCTGCTTTTTTTTTTTTTTTGGTAAATGATGCCATCCAACCCCTCTCCCCCATCTCCCAATATTGGCATATAGTTAATAATAAAATACAACAGAAAACCTCAACTCAGTTACCTTTGTATATATTTGCAGATAGTTTAGCTTTGGAATCAGGTAGGTCTGGGGTCTAAGTTTTCTATTTACCACGTATGAGAAATTACCTAACCTGGCTGAACCTTTTATTTTAATTCAGTAGGTATATATTATAATAATATCTCCTTTTGGATTTGTGGTGAAGAAGAAATGAAATTGGATATATAGATTCTGGTGTGTAGTAAGTGTTCAGTGAATGTTGATTTTAATTCCCTTTCCTTTTTTGGTACTCTATAGTGCCTTGTATAGTGTTAGGCACATAGAAGACACTCAGAAATTAGTATTTGACCATATACTACAGCTTAATACAATTTTGTTAAATTGTTTTTAGGAGGAATTTCGACTGCATTTTAGAAATATTTCAAGAATCATGGATTGTGTTGGTTGTTTCAAATGTAGACTGTGGGGAAAGCTTCAGGTAAGCAAATGTAACTCATCTTTTATTTTTGAATTATTCCTTGCACAAATAATTTGTTGATTTTTCTTTTTCTTATTTCTATTATAGACTCAGGGTTTGGGTACTGCTCTGAAGATCTTGTTTTCCGAAAAACTGATAGCAAATATGCCAGAAAGTGGGCCCAGTTTTGAATTCCATCTAACTAGACAAGAAATAGTGTCATTATTTAACGCATTTGGAAGGTTAGTTTGAATGTACTGCAATTCTTTCTGCTAGCCAAGTAAGTCTAATGCAACATGTATACTTTCAGATAAAACTGGGTAAGGAATATCCTTTATGGTGAAATTATCTCACTATAGAATTTTATGATCTTAAATGAAATACATTAAGTATGTCGACATAATCATGATTAATATACTGATTTATTTCAATATTCATCTTTCTGAATTTGTATATTTTTCCTAGTTATTTAAAAGTAATTTTTTTATGGTGCCCCCCAATTTTTTTAAGCCCCTGGGAAAATCATGTTGTTTAATATAGGTGTACCTGTAAAGTTTCTTTGTGAATTCACCATTATGTAAAAAGGTTAATAATTCTTTTAAAAATAATTTCAAAAAAACTACTAGAAGATAAGCTTGAAAAATAAGGAGTTTACAATATAAAATTTAAGTGAAGTGCATTTCCTTCTGGCTTATCATATGTAAAAAATGTAGAGATTTATAAAAACTAATATCGTCTAAAGACTGCATTTCTTCACTTAAAACAATTTTGATTTTTATACTTTGGGTTTAAAATAATTGACCCTCAAAATTATTTTATAGTACACAGAAGCTTGATAGTTATATTTCATTGAGAAGTCTCCTTTTTTCATGGTGGAGAGCAGAATTAAAGTACATTTGAAATAATGAACAAACTGTAGTTTTTATAAAAATTAGTGAAAATAATTTGGTCACACGTTTACTATTCTTACTCTTTAAAGTCAAAAAGCTTTGATTCTTTGTATATTTACTAAATATGGTATATTGATTAGTTTTCAGTACTCATATACTTATGCATATTTAAAATGAGTATTATAATGCTTATATACTTTATACTTATGTACTTTAAATGCTAAACATATGAATATACTTATGATTACTTAAAACACCTAAGTATTTTAATATTGATGTACTTTGCAATTCTGTATTTTAAAACTTAAACACTGAGTTATGAATATGTGAAAATTACTAATTTCTAGGCAAGATTATCTTAGTTTTACTACATCAAGTTAAGAACTAAAGTACATCAAAGTAGATTAAATGGTTTATGTGCCTTTAAATTTGTTGAAATAAAGTTTTTTCTTTGCTCTAAAGATGCAAAGTGAGTAAGTTACAGAGAAAAGTTATCTAAGATTGTTTTTGAGTGAAATTTTGCTTTTTGGTTACAGAATTTCTACAAGTGTGAAAGAATTAGAAAACTTCAGGAACTTGTTACAAAATATTCATTAAAGAAAAGGAGCTGAATTGTGCCTGTTTCTGGATAATGGAGGTCAAAGAGTGGAATTTCATTCAAAGGCATAATAACAATGACAGTCTTAAAGCAAACATTTTACATAAAGCTGCTTTTGTAAAAGGAGAATTATATTGTTTTAAGTAAACAAATTTTTAAAATTGTGTTAAGTCTATGTATAATATTATTGTAAGTAAAAGTAACATTTAATAATGTGGTACACATTTTAAAGTTTAATATTGAATAAAATCAGGATTATTAAATTTACATATGGTAAAACTTAGGTAAACGATGTTTTAAGTCTCTCAAACTGAAATTTTGTGTAAGAAGATGTAATATAAGTAAAACTATGGCCAATGTGACAGGTGTTTAATAGAAAAATGCCGAGGAGGCTCTTGAATAAAGCATAATTAACAGCTTAAAATTTTTCAATACTTTTAGAGTTAACAGAATTAGTAAATAAAAATACAGAATGCCCAGTTAAATTTGAATTTCAGATAAACAACAAATAGTTTTTTAATATGAGTATGTTGCATGCAATATTAGGGATATACTTATACCAAAAAATTTTTCCTTATTTAAAATTCAAATTTAACTTGGAGTCCTGTGTTTTATCTAAAATACATTGGTATGAAACAAATCACTTTTAGAATTATATTACTATTTTGACTGGCTTGTTTTGGTGTGTAGAAAGATACAATGACAACCAAAATGCATAGGGTATTTCTAAAAATGTGAGTTTAATAGATTTATATATTTATTCTCATAATACTTTACCTAATACTGAATACAATTTGGGGAAAACTTTTTATTTTTATATAATTTTAAATTCATGGGAAGGTTTCCAGGATAATACAAAGAACTCTTTTACCCAGATTCACTAAGTGTTCATACTTGCTTTATCTTTCATGCTCTCTCTGTGTGTATACACATATTATTTTTTTCTCAATCATTTGAAAGTCAGTTACAAGCATCATGCCCTTTGAACCCTAACTACTTCAGTGTGTAGTACTGAATAATTTATTTAAAATTATTTTTTCAGAAAAAAGTAGAACTGTAGTATGATAAGCCTTAGAATAAGGAATCACTTTGAGTTCCAATCTGAAGTTCTTTTTGAGTTTTGTTGCCCTTTTAATGCTTGATCTGTATAGGGCATGTAATTTTTGTTTTGTTGTACATAAGATTCATTTCCTTTTTCTCTCTAAAACTAAACTGTAATTTTGGGAGGTTTCCATTAGTAGAAGCTCTTCAATGATAAAAATATTTGAATGGGTTGAGGAATTTTTATCACATTGTAATTGTAGGGAAGAAAGAAACTGTATACCTCAAAATCATGTGCCTCTTTATATGTTCTTATTAGGTATACTATGTTGAGATGCTATATTATTAATAAAGCAGGGTTTACTTATATAATGGTTTAGAAATGTCATTTTACACTGCTGTATACTTTTTCTTCTCTCTGTCCCCAAGGACCGGTATGATGCCAAGCACATAGTGGGTATCCAATATTTGTTGAATGAATGTATGAATATGTATTCAGTATATTTTAAATGAATAATCACAGAGCTAAGTTTAACAATATGTGTTATAGTTTTCTTTCCCCCCTCATTTGAATAGGCCAAGAAAAGAAACACATTAACCTACTAGTTAAGTCAATATTCTTGGAGACTCAAAGACCATGAAGTGAGCACCATATATAAAAGTTTAAAGACATTTGTAGTACTCTGAAGATATGGTTGATTGGTTTAAATGGTAATTTTGTCTGTATACCTCTCTCTCATGCCCCCACCTTTTGACAATGAATTTTTTGGAAAGAATATTCCAGTCTTCACTTTGTAACTTCTCACTTGCTCCATAACTAAAATCTGGCATTTGGCTCCATAGTTCTTAACAATCTCTTCCTTTGAAGTCTAAAATCCCAGTTCTAAATCCATAGTTCAGTTTACAAGGCATTTCTTATTTAACTTTTTTTTCTGCATTTGACACTATCCCCTTTGCCCCCGGTTTCCTTTTATTTCACTAGCTCCTGGATAATTCCTTTTTAGCATCTTTTCATTTATGCCTTAAATGTTATTCCTCAGGCTTTCATTCTTGCTCTCTTAAAAACCACTACTTCTCACTTTTGGGTAACTCCAATTCAATGATTTCTAAATCTCTATCTTTAGCCCAGACTTATCATTCCATCTGTCTACCACATATATTTAGTTGGTTGTCCCACAGATACCTGAATGTCTTAAAACAATCATTCTCTCCCAAATCTACTCTTACGCCTATTTTCCTTATTCTGGTTACATTCTGAACTATGAATGTCTAAATTCTCTAGGCTCACTCCTCTCCTCCATCTTCATATCCAATTAGTGTCTAAGCACTACAGGTTTTTCTCTCCATATATGATACATCACTGTCTTTCCACTTTCATTGCTCTTACCTAAAGTACTAACCTGTCTCCTTATAGCCAGCCTGTCTCCTCTTTTTGCTCCAAAATGCTACCAGAGTGGGTTTTCTAGAAGCACTCTAACAAGGTCCTCTGATATGTACCTCAGTCCCATCTCCCCTAGACCCCATGTTCTGATAAAACTGACTTACAGTTCTTCAAATGCACCATACTTTGGTCAGGCCTCCATACTTTGGTGCATGCTGTTCTCTTTGCTTTTAGCATCCTTGCCATCCTTCTCCACTTGGAAAATTTCTATGTATCCCTGCAGGCTCAGCATAAAGCATCACCTCTGTGAAATCTCTCTTGTTCCATACAAGGAGGACCATATCTAACTTTTGTGTGTCACCACTGTAATGACAACCTACCTCTATTGTGTCACTTATTGTACTGTATTGTCTTTTTTAAGCCTCCTTTACTAGAATGTGAGCCCCTTAAGGGCAGGAAAAAGAACTTTATCCATTTTTGCATCTCCATAGCATAGTTTTTGTTATATGAACATTTAATAAATGTTTGTTGAATAAATTGTTTTTAAAATGACTTTATTATATTAGGTCATACTTTCACTCCAAATATTCTTTACACTGGGTCAGTAGACTCCCAAAGATTTGTGGACTTTAGGGGGTCAATAAAGCTCCCGAAATTGTATTCAAAATTTGGTGTGGTATTGGCAGGTTATGAAAGGAGTCTATTATGGAAAAAAAGAGTAAGACTTCTTCGTTCAGGAGAAAAGGCAACATTGCTGAGGAATTTCTTGAATAATCAAAGAATAGCTGCCCAAGACTATAGGCTAGATAAATTTATTCCTGTTTAAAATTCTAAGGGAAAAGAGAAAGCTGTTGTAAGTTATTTCATACAAGGGTTTTTCTTAGCCTACTATTTGAATAAATATCCTATCTGATATCGTATTGATATTTTAAAGTATATGGCAGTTCATAGCAAATTAGTGTATAATATTAAGGGTAAATGATGTCTAGATGTCAGTAATTATAAGCTCACTCACAGCAGACTATTATTTGTAATTCCTGATATTTTCTCTTTCCTTTGGTAGCACTAGGGTTCCTGTCCTTATACGATAGAAATTCAGTGTAGTCCATAAGAGGGATTAAGAAAACCAGACCTCCAAATAAAAGCACAAACACTTTTATTTTTAACAGTAGTGTTTTGTTACAATTTAGTGAAACAACAAGTAAATACATTCATTGCCCACAGCTATACTTTTACAACCAGTTTGAAACTGATTATATAGCTGAGAAACACCATTAAACAATAAAAAAAAAGGGAGCTATGCATTAAAAAGCCACTAGCTATAAATTACACCTTTCATAAAACTACGACCAGCTATAATGAGTGGTAAGAGTTTCAAAATTAATGGCCACCCAAATGAAATGATAAAAACAAGTACTGCTAATCACTGTAGAAATTACACACTTAAGCAATGAAATGCACTGTTCTAAGGAACTGAAAAGGAAGGTTTGAAATTGTCGTCATGTGCTTCAGTGCAGGATGAACAGGGGATCGGTAGCCCTTTGATTTTATAAGCAACTCCTTCTTTCGAGACCAAACTTAAAGTGCTCCTAGTGCTTTGGAATTTTTAAGCAAAAATTGGGCCAGAAGCTTACCTTTGTCTTTGGTGATACATTGTGGGAGATGTATATAAAGAGACAAATGCAAGAATTCAGGTACCCTAGTCAGTGGTAAGAGTAAAGTTATAGATCTCAAATTTGGAAGAATCAACTGATGCAGCTGAAAGAACCAAGTTGCTTTATCTGATATATTTTTTAAAAAGTAGTCTTTGCTTATCTGGTCAAATAGGAACATTATCTAGAGACGTTTTACTAGAAAAAAATTTACTTTATTTACTTTGAACCCTGAGGATTAACAAAGACAACACAGATCTCTTCAGATATCTCTAGATAATTAGCTACCTAACATTATTAGGAAAATAGTTGGTATTCTTAAAAGTAATCTAATAACTGAAGTTATTAGATATAATATACTCAGTTAACTGCACATTATGTTGTCACGTAAATACAAAGTTAACTTCTGTATTATAAATTTTTAAATAGTTTGGTTATAATGAGAGAACTTACAAACAAACAAAGTAACATTTTAACTATAGGTTTATGCTTCTGATTGAATTCAAAGTCATTTTGTATGATAAAAGGAAGAAATTTAATTGGCTGCACACCAGCCTCCCAAAAGATCGAAAGCATTGAAAATTTAATTATTCCTTGGGGTTTCACCTACGTTATACTTTTGTGAAGTTACTGCATCCATTATTAAAAAGTTTAAAGGTATTTTAAGTAAGAGTAGAAATAAAATACTACTTTCCAAGCAAAGTAGACAACAGAAAAGACAGTTGTATTAGTTCCAGTTCTGAAGAAATAGATCAGCAGACAATTGTATAAAGTTAGGCATCTTTCTTTAATTAGGCATGTTGTGACGACTTCCCAGTGTTGCCTGTTCCCTTGGCATCTTGAGGTATTCAGCATCTCCTTTCCATATAGACACTGATAGAAAGTGCATTTTAAAATTCTCTATTATCTTGGCCTACTATATATTTTTTTAGATTTGGAGCAGGACATTCAAGGTAGTTTTAATGGAATTCTAACAGTATTCAAATATCGTTAACCACTGGTTTTATACTTACCTAGTTAGTACCTTCACATGAGTTTGCTTATTTAGTCTAGTGCTGGAATTTGAATTAAATTTAATTTGGCCTTGCCCATATACAATATATAACAATGTGAAAACTAAAGAAGGACTTATGCTTTACAAAATATTGCACTTGAGTTCACTGCAATAATGTATCATGATTAAATTTACCTGAGGACAATCCTGATTTTTTAGGTAAAATCAGTTATATCTTGTTTCAACTAAATCAAATGTTTTTGAAATTGTATTCATGTTTTAATTTAGAATTGTATATTTTATGAATAATTCTTAAATGCATCTATAAACTTGTTTAGTCCCAAGAAGTTTCTACCAATATCTCCCTATGCAAAAATCACTATTGCTTTCTTGAAGAATCATGCTTAAACTACTACACATATCTTAATCATACAAAATAATCACTTAACCAATTCTATTCAAAGTAGCCACATAATTTTCACTGGTCTACTTTCTTCTTGAAGAAATGACTGTGGCTTTCCAAAGAACACTGCTGGTCATCATGGTAAAGGTTTACTACTATCATTTAAAAATGTGATTGTTTGAATAATTTTAGTTGGTATTTACAATCATGCTTAAAAGAACTATATTCAATGATTATATATTTTTAGTAGATTTTTAAAAAGAATAATACATTTTTATGCCTTAATTCTGTGCACTGTTCACTCTGTAAAATTTTTATTGGGTAAGAATTCCACATAGAGTACACCACTGAATATTCAGGCTTTGATTTTAATAGAAAAATTACCTCCTAATTTGGTGTACAACAACATCCCAGTGTGAACACTGAAGTATGACTTTGGGGACTACAGTGTACTCTTTAAGAACAAAGATAAAAGTGCAAATAGGCAAATATGCATTTGATATTCCAAAGTCAAGATGTCTGGAGGCCATCAAGTGCCGTAAGGTCTAATCTCTCTTTTCTCACACTCCAAACTTTCCATTTTACTTCACTTTACTGTGAAGAGGTCAAAAGTAATAGCCATATCCTCTGCTGAACACAGCCACATTTCCAGGCGTTGTTTTCAGTTGCAACAGATAATGGAATGTTTATGTAGATGGAATTTAAACGCATTGAATATACACATTCATGAAAAACAACTGAAGAATCACCACTTGGCAATGCTGTCAGTTTTGTGGTGTTACATATAAGCTATGGTGATTGTTCAAATCTAAATTACTACAAGTAAAGAGCAAAGGAGCAGTATCTGTGAGAGGTCCATTCAGGTGGGGAGAGACTGTATAACTGTTGCTGCCACACCCCGTCATGGTGCCATACCAGCCCAAACCTTGTGAATTTGATAAACTGCAACAACAAAAAAAGCCATAGAACTATGATCAGGACATAAAAAGACACATTGACATTTTTAGTTTTCAATGAATTTTATAAAAGTTAGTGTCAAATATACTGAAATATGTTCTTTGCTAAATTAACATAATAACTTTCTACAAACTTTAATGACTTTTATCTAATATCCTTGATTCTATATCATATATTATAAAAAAATGACTAAATGCCACTCAGAACTAGGACTTAATTATCAGATAATAATAATAATAGTGTTTATTATACACTAGGCTATATTCTAAGTCATTTGTCTATACACACACACATAGAATTATATATACATACACACACACCCATTTAATCTTCACAATAGCCCAATAGGTTCTATTACCACTCCTACTTTTACAGATGAAAAGCAGGCTAAATAAGCTGAGGTTAAGTAACTTGTCCAGATGAAATAGGGATTACAGAAAATACTATATCAAGCTGAAAGCATCACACAGGTGTGTATTAAGGCTTCTACTTTGCCCTGATACACAACTAATGTCATCAACCAACCCCCACCAGCTTTGACCAATAAGGGATCCTGAAATGAAATGGTGCCATTTTACCTCCAAGGCATTTCTCATATAAACGTTGCATATGAGCTTAGAGTCTGATGATAGTTCTTAAAGGTACAGGTCCCACCATGGGTTCTTTTTAATCTATTTCAGTGCTAATTTAGTACATCTACCTTCCTTCTCTTGAATTTCCCAGTCTTGGCAGGTCATCATCACTATCATATCGTCTTGGATTGTCGAAAAAGTAAGCTCTGGAACTATAACTGTGACTATTTATCATGCCAGCAGGTGCCTGTGAACAAAGTATTAGATAGCTCATTAAGATATACTTTTCGACAAAGAAAGGAGGCTGAGATTCATAATGCTTTTTAGTGTTACACTTTGCCCCAAATAGTAAATCAGTATAAATGTTCCATTCTTTTTAAAAATAAGAATAGTCATTAGGGAATATTATGATATCATACCAAATTCTGGTTTAATCTCTGTGCCCGGAAAAACAGTACCACCGACCATGCTGGCACGTGTTCCCACAGAAAGAGGACCATTCCAAATACTATATACTCTTCTCCACTTATGTCTTCTACATGAGCCTGTAAATAGAGTATGGCAAAGCAATTTTGAAATCTGTTTTATGTATAAGCAATCATCTTCCACAATCAACTTGCTTCAGGTAGGGTAAGCTAAAACATATCAAGTACAAACACAAAAAACTCTAAATTAATTTCCCATATTTTGTGTTTTTTTTATATAATGATATTTATCCTCTAAGAAATGCATTGATGTTAAGTAGAATAAAAAGGTATTAACTTTTTTGAATGGATCGATTTATGAAAACATTTTTAATATATGGATAATATAGAGAGATCTCATTTTTAGTCCCATAGTCAAAACAGGGTTATAAAATAGACTACTAGTTCCAGCTGCTCTATAGACAAATAGCACTTACTCTGAGTTACAGCTGTAGAGAATATAACATTTAAGTCACTCAGGTCTTTTGTTACTTAAAATATGCTTTGGGGCCTAAACTCCATATTGATGTTGTTTCTATTCTACTAGATGTTGGAAGACAGAAGTGGGAGAAAGAATGAAGAGAATCTGCCACATGGAACCACATGTGAAAATTCCTTCTCCATAGAAAGGTAACTGAAATTCTGATAAAAGATGATTCCAGGATTCCTTAAATTCAGTACGAAGTTAAATTAATATAAATAAAGATATGACATACTAAAGATAGTATGTCAAACTGCACTTATAGAAGGGAACAGAGCATGTTGGGAGGTTAAATATGCATAGCTAGAGTACTGAGAATTACTATAGCAAACACCTGGACACCCAAAGAATGCTCTCCCATTATCAAGACTGACAATGCCAATTTTCATAAAAGTCACTATTTAAAAACATCTGAAATTGAACCAAATATTTGGGTTAAGTGTAGTTCTTGGGTAAAAGAATTAATTTCATCCTAACAAATTAAAGACATGCCTATATTCACTAGCTAATGACAGGCAATCAATTTATCTAGGGATATCTAAACACTATCCTTTAAAAATTTGGTAAAATAGGTTTATGACCAATAGATTTTTGGCACTATTAGTATTATTTACAAAAAGAATAGAAAATACTCCTTTAGGAGAAGTGTTCTGAAGAATGATTTCAAGTACCACATGTAAATGAGGATTTTTAAACATAGAATTTTAAGTATGGTTTTTGATAGTAGCTAGAAATTCCATAAAAGTGTTTATAAGTCAAACACTTAAAAAGTTCTCCTAGTGAAGGCTAACTTCATTATCATATTATTAGAGTGGCAATACATGGTAGGTACTTACCTTAGCTGAAAGATTATCCCAGCCATAATTAAATGGACTTTCTAATGTATCCTGAGATATGGTGATCACCACCAAATTATAACATGCTCTTGAAGAATAAAGAAGAATGACTACAGAGCCTACAACAACAGTCTGGCACAGAGACATACCCTAAAAGAAATAAAAATCATCATCATGATACTCTGCACATTTGTCATGAAAAGCTGTTCATCCACATACAATATAGTCACTTTTGCAATGCACTCCTAGAAAACATTGAATGAGCACCTATTGAAATAAACTCTTTAATATTTTGTTTTATAATTTCTATTCTTAAAACCACTTGCGTTTAAACTATCCTATTAATACAAATAAATTCTTTGTCAACTTGCCCAAAGGCAGCTGGAAGATTTGTTCTGCTACAGTTACCTTACTCCCTTAACATATGAATAAACAAGTTGGCATAAGGTCTAAGCTATAATTGATATTAATCAGAGAGGTAGTTTAGTCATAATGAGAAAAGAGTGGGGAATAGAAGCATTAGTCCATTTAATACTCTTAATTTCCAATAAGACAAAAAATTAGAATAGAAATACAGCTCTTATGTTATTTGCTTCACTCTATTAGATTCTATTAAAGGTATTATATTAATCCCCTACTGATACCATTACATTAATTACGAAGTGATATAGCCATCAAATGCACTTTCGAATCCATAAAATTTTAATACTAAGGCTTTTCACTGTTTCCTATATATAGAAAATCCTTATAACTTAGTGTGTATATTAGAGAGGGGTGAGTATCAACTTTTGCAGGGATCTTAACTTAGGGTCTGTATTTCAAAACAATTAGTTTCTTTTGTAATCCTATTTATCTTAAGCAATAAAAACATTATTCTGAGAAGAGACACAATTGCCAAAGAGATCCATTGCAAAAAACACTCAGTATGGTATTTTGTAATTTTATGTTTTGGTTGTCACAATGATTAAGGTGTAATGATGGCATTTTAGCAAACAAGGTCTAGCGATGCTAGATGACCTGCAATTAGCAGGAGAGTTCTCCAAATAAGAGAATTCTTCTCTGACCTTTATAACTTTCCAATGTCCTCCTGGATATTCATGAAGATGAAAAAAAACCTGTTTATAATGATATCAGCCAAAACCTAATTCTGTTGTACATAGAAACAAAGTTTATGTTTGCATAGTTTTAACAGATGCCAGCATTTCCAGAAACACATATAACAGGGAAATTGAAGGAAATTTGTCCTTTGTTTTGTTCAGAACTTTGTCAAGAATAGTCAAATATTTCAGAAAATCATGAAACTGACAGCAACACTGCTTGTGGTACGTAAGGCACCAATGCAACACACCTGTAACAGTCTGCATTTGTAGCTGTCCCATTCAGTTTCTATATATAGATACAACCATCTGACTACTGCATCATGTCCCAAATTTTACGTGTTGAAATATTTATTACTTTCCTTTTATTTCCTCTTTCTATTGCAGTGCAATAAGGTAATTACACTGACTTTTTGAAGTTATGTGTGTAGATAGGCTAAATGATCCGTTAATTTCGGGATAGAAACAGGTTATTAAAAATGTTTGTTACTAGAAGGGTGCACTGAGTTTGGTAGGATTAAGACCCACTATTATAAATGGCTTCTTTATAAGAACACCACATTTTCGAGGTATATAAGAAGAAAGAAAACTAAAAGATGAAAGATATCTTTAGAAATGTTGAGGTAGTAACAGAGTACTTTCTCTGAATAAACCATATCAAAAAGTATATGTGAAAATAAATAAAACCCCAGTAACTAAAATTTTTAAAAATCAAGGCTAAAATTTTCTACAATGTGCATTTTTATTTTTGTGAATCCCCCCAAAAATGTTAATAAAAAAGTTAATCTAAAACAAATTCAGATCCAATTTTAAAAGTACTATATTAAAGAAAAGTTAGGTAACAAGAAAAGTTAGAATGCTCTAAGCATTACCATCCTTTAACCACGAGTAAGCTTACAATCACTCTTTAAGAAATAAAATGAGTGCTAAAAATATATCTTATAACATGGAGAGACTGCTTATACTTGTAAATACTATTAAAAAATTTTTAGAAGGTTGTGAGCAAAGAGCAAAGAATTAGTACTACCAAAGCAATTAATAAAACAAAATAAAGCAAAATTGCAGGCAAATTACATACATATAACAAAGAAATAAGCCCATTGATTTAGAAAACAAAGTAAGATTCTTCCTGCAAAACACAGGATTACAAAACAAAGAATAAAGATATAGCAACATGGAAAGTGTTGTCAAAAAGTTAAAGAAAACCTTCCCAAAATGAATGGTTAAGACAATTCTACTCAGGAGCAATTCTCAAGGAATGATTCTCTCTTCCTCCATCTCTTGACATCTACATACCACTTTTTTAGAAATTTCACACTTGACAAGTAAAGAAGAGTTACATCTCACTCCAGTATGCATATCATTAACACTTCATTATGCACATCGTTAACCAGAGTTCAATATTTGTTTACAGGTATTTTTAGAATGCAGCTAGTCAGAGACCTCAACTTACCTAATTCATTGAGTTCTGACAAATGTGTACACTTGTGTAACCCAAATCTCTACCGAAATAGAGGACATTATTATTACTCCGGAAATTTCCCTCACACCCCTTCCCCCAAATCCACAGAAAAAAAAATACTCTTCTGCTTTTATTTTTACCAAATTAGCTCTGTCTACTCTAGCTCTCATATAAATGAAATCATAGAATATGAACTCTTTTGTAAGCTTCATTCAGTATGTTTTGAAATTCATCCATGTTGTTGGATGTATCAGTAGTTAGATCCTTGTATTGCTGAAGTGGATAATTAGGGTGACCAGCCCCTGCTTTGCTCAAGAGTTTGCTAGTTCTAGCACTGAAAGTCCCACATCCTAGAAAACTTCTTAGTCCCAGTCAAATCAGGACAGTTAATCACACTAATTCCACTGTATAATTATGTGAGCTTGTTTATATGACAGTTTATCCATTTTTCTGTTGGATAATTTCTATGAACATTCTCATACAAATCTTTTTGTGGACATATACTTTCACTTATTTTTTTGGTAAATATCTAAGAGTGGAATTGCTGGGTCACATGGTAGGTATAAGTTCAGCTGTACAAGAAACTCCCAGATCTTTTCCCAAAATAGATGTACAATTTAACGCTTCCAACAGAGTGGTAGAGTTCCAGTTGTTCCAGATATCAGACAACTTTTGAGGTTGTTAATCATTTTAATTTTAGCCATGCTGGTGCGTATGTAGTAGTATCTCATTTTAGTCTTAATTCGCATTTCCCCAAAGACTAATGATATTGTGCTTATTGGCCATTTGTATATCTTCTTTGTGAAGTCTATTCATATCTTTGACCACTTCTAAATTGAGTTATTTTTCTTATTATTGAGCTGTATTTTTATGTATCGAGATCTCTGTATACACTGGAAACAAGTCCTTCATCAGATGTTTTTATAACAAATTTTTCTTGAAGTCTGTGGCTTGCCCTTGCATTTTCTTATTCCTGTCTTTTGTGAGAAATTTTAAATTTTAATTAAATCTAATTAAATCAATTTTTTTTTGTGATTACTTTCTATGACTTAAGAAATCTTTGCCTATACCTGTTATAAAGATATTCTACCATGTTTACTTTTAGAAGCTTTAGATTTTTCATTTATATTTAGGTCTGTGATCTATTTTGAATTTTGTTGTTGTTGTTGTTAAGTATAGTTGTTGTTGTTGTTACTTTTAGAAGCTTTAGATTTTTCATTTATATTTAGGTCTGTGATCTATTTTGAATTTTGTTGTTGTTGTTGTTAAGTATAGTTGAGATGCAGTTTAAGGTTTATTTTATTTCATATGGATAGCCATTTGTTCCAGCACTAGTTAAAAAGATTTCCATTTTGGATTGCTTTAACATCTTTGTCAAATATCAAAAGACCTTATCAGTGTGGATTGATTTCTAGGCTCTCTGTTCTGATCCACTGATCTATTTGTCTATTTTATGCTAGTAGCACACTTTTTTTATTTGTACTAAGCTTTGTATTAAGTTTCAGAGTCCTGTAGTGTAAGGATCCTTTTTCCAGGGTTACTTCCTGCACTGTTCAGTACAATAGCCATTAGCCACATGTTGAGTAAATTTAAATTAAACTAAAAGATCAATTCCTCTGTCACAATAGCCAAGTTTCAAGTGCTCAATAGTTACATATGGTTAGCTACCATATTAAAGTGTAGATATAGAATATTTTTATCATAGCTGGAAGTTATATTGGAAAGCAATACTTTTTAAGTATTTAGGTCCTTTGCATTTCCTTACGAAATTTAGAATCAGCTTGTTAATTTCTATTTTTTAAAAACCTCATTGTAGAATTATGATTAGGATTGCATTGAATCTATAGATCATTTTAGGGAGAATTGCTACCTTAATACTGCATCTTCCAATCCATGAACAACGGTCTTCATTGATTTGAGTTTTCTTTAATTTCTCTTAGCAATATTTTGTAGTTTTCAGGATAGAGGTATTGCTTATGTTTTGGAAAATTTGTTTCTAAGTATTTTGGTTTTTGATGCTGTTGTAAATGGAGTTTTTTTTTTAAATCTCATTCTCTGATTGTTCCTTGTATATACAAAAATACAATGAAATTTTGAATTTTGACCTTGTATCCTGAGAACTTGCTTAATTCTCTTATTAGTTCTGGTAGTTTAGTAGAGGCCTTAAGATATTCTATGTAAACAATCATATTATCTACAGTTAGAGACAGTTTTACTTCTTAATTTCTAATTTTATACCTTTTGTTTCTTTTTCTTGTTTCACTGGAATATTGAATAGAAATGGTGAGACTGGACAGCCTTGCTTTGTTCTCAGTTTTAGGGGTCAAACATTTAATTCTATGACTATGATACTGATTGTAGGTTTTTTTTTTATTAGATGTCTTTTATCAGATTGAAGAATATTCCTTATATTCCCTAGTAGCTGAGAGTTTTGTTGTTTTTTAATCATGAAGGGTACTGAGTTTTGTCATATGTTTATTCTACATCTATTCATTATTTGTTTTTTCTCCTTAATTCTCCTAATATAATGAATTAGATTGATTTTTCAAATGTTAAACCAATATTGCATTCTTGAGATAAATCTCCTTGGT